GATGGTGGTGGGAACAGTAGCGGCAAGTCCACATCGACGGAGGGATTGGCCGTAATGCAGACTGAGGGTGATGCCGGTGCAAGGACGGGTGCGCAGAAGAAATCGTTTCGGCAGCGAATCCTATCGTTGGAGTCTCTCCGGTACGTAACAGTGTAATGTGCTGCGCACAACCCCGAAAATTTATTTTTTCCACTAAATTATTGTTGCTGGTGTCTCTGCTGCATGCGGAGGGGATTTCTGGGTCATTCTCAGATATAAGGGTGCAGTTCGTGGTGCGGAAAAGACGGGAAGTGCATGGCAACCTGTACTGCATGCTGTCTGATGATGATTGTGCATTGAACTCCGAGCTAGAGCAGCAGGGTGTTGCTACATAGTTTGAAATCTGTTATCCTCACGATGGCCTGTGGCCAATAAGAGAAGTTGGCCATCTCTTTGTAGTGTGGCCTGCATACTGTTGCAATCCTTTTGCTCTCTGTTCTCATCTATCATGCAGTCACTTTCAAAAAGAGTTACATCCATCAAGCAACCATGATGACAGCGGCAAAGGTGATCCCCACTACGATCAGACCAGTGACGAGACCGACATAAAACACGGCAAGAAGAAGAAGAAGAAAGTGAAGGCACGAGAACTCGAGATGCCTATGCCTGTCGGTGACCAGGGTGGTGTGACGTTGGCGCCACCAAAGCCCCTGCGCAAGGGCAAGACAGCCGATCAGGACGTACCGCCGGGGTACTCGGCAGTGGGAATGTCACAACCTGCGTCCACGACGCTGACAACAACGCAACACCAGGTCCCGGACCAGGATCATAACCCCAATGCCAACGCGTACGCGATCAGCAGCGTGAAAAGCCGCCAGGGTACGATCAGTGACCAGTATTCGGTCATTCAAAAGAATCCGTCCGCAGAGGCAGACGTCGCAGAGCCCCCGGCGGAGCAGGAGTCGCCGGGACAACCGTTGCCCGAGCAATACCCTGAGAGCAAGCGTCTCAACTACATCGATATCGAGTTGACACCAACACCACGCGCCGACAAGACCGCCGAGGAGGGGATACTGGCGTCGCCAAGCAAACAGCAGGTGTGCTACTCGGCACTCATCCCCGAAGCTCATCTGAAGGGCGTGCGGCGAGGCAGCGATGGTTTGGTTCGCGGCAACTAGGGGCAAGCACATGCAACACTGGCACACACACACACACACACAGTCAGAGTACAGTACTATTGGATGATGAAGAACCGGGGGTCAGCCTCCTAGCCGGCCTAGGCCGTTCTTATTTTCATGTACTGTAGGCTATGCGCAGGTGAGTCACCGTGTATACATTGGTATGTTGTGCTTGGTGAAACCCCAGCCCGTTCGTTCTTCGGCACTCTGTTCTTCGGAACTCCACCGTACTGGTACAGTATCGTCAGCATAGCCCGCATCTCTAAGTCTTTGTTGACAGCTGCTCGGCTATGCTTGGCACCAACTCCATGCCCTGGTACTGACATACAGACACGAGAAAAAAAACTCAATGAAGACGACGCGAGTTTGCAGTGGAAATCAGTATTAGCATTATGGTACAGCCTACCACTAATGGGCTCACAATTCAAGAATTTCGCTCTCGAGCTTTGCTGACTCCTGCTTTGCTCACATAGTCTACAGGCCGAAAAAGCCCCAAAAATGGTTCAGTTCTGTTCCCGTTTCGGGCGTACCAAGGTTTGACAGGAATACCTCACACCTTAGGCCATATTTCTAACATGGTACTTTCCAGAGGTTGGTCCCTGGAAGAACTGCCCCCCCCCCCCCATCCATGTCCCCGATTGACCTGAATGGGGCTATGTAAATCTAGAATGTGTGTGTCACTGCACACTAATGGGAAAAGTCAAATCAGCTGCAACTCACAGTGCTGCACAACTATCCACTGAAACACATGACTGTATTCTACCCGTACGGCACTATTCTATGCATTGATTCCTTCATGATGATTCCTATCTAATGTTTTCTTCTAAAACAACCTGGACAATAGCAAATTGAGTTTCCATGCGTTATTAGCATTTTCCTTTAGCATTGACATGAGATGAGCAAGAGCATAATGCTCATTAGTTATTATCTGGACCGTGGCTTGGCCGACTCGGACTCGCTCTGCAGAAACGGCCTCATTTACACGAGTGGCTGCATCTTGGCTGCAGTGCAGTGCGGCAAACAGTCTCCCTATTGGCTGCACACGCCAGCGTATCCAACACTATGTCATGTGCCAGCTAGACTGTACGGTGTACTAGTACTTGAGCCGCCTTGAACGGCTGTGAGTGCGATTCTCTCACTAATACTGTAAACTGTGAAATTATTGCCATGGTCTAATTTCTGCGAAATTCGCGACCGCGTGGAAATCGCGAAATTCAGACAGCGCGAAAAGGAGATCCATGAAAGGTTTAGCAAGAACGCCACAGGTTTAGCAAGAATGCCATTCTGCAATCGCAAAATTAAAACCTCGCAAACCTGTCCGGATTCTGAAAACGCGAACTAAAAATGCTGCGAAAATTTCACGCTTTACAGTACACAGAAAACAGGTACCATACATGTATTTTACAGGTTGTAAGTCGACCTCCAAACCCGGGACCTCAATTTACCGGTTTAGGGGCAGTTATTCCCCGGTTGTAAGTCGGCTGCCCCTTTTTAGGTCGGTTTTTAGGTGGACTTATAACCGGTAAAATACGGTACATGTAACAGTGTGCATGTAGATGTTGAGCAGGCCACTCCACAAGAGACCAACCTTCAAGAGAGACCACCTGCCTTGAGAGACCACTCATTTCAGGCACCACACCATACCAGCTACCTCAGCATGCATACTGACCTGTTTAGAAAGACCATCTGCCTACAAAGGCTGGCTTTCGACGCAGCGCAGAGAGCTTGCTACCGGTATAACATGCTTGTTACACATGCACAAACAAAGGAAGCAGACTGGCATATCCACAGGACCTGTCGGACTCCAGCATATGGACAGCTACCACCCCCCCCCCCCCCTCCCCCTCAGTGACAATCTTCATTAACTTCCCAGTCTCGTATATTTAAGTTACATGGATCATTTCACAAACTGCAGGCTGCTGAGCGGTACATGCACGGTAAAGTACTCAGAGAGCGCCCAGCCACCACCACCCTTTAGTAGTGTCTAGGGTTTTTTGAGGTGGCGACCGTGGCGTCCTGTCTGCAGGTAATACGATATGTACAGTCAGACCTCGCTTTTCCGGTCCTCGTTTATCCGGATCCCTCGCCATCCGGAAGAAAATAGTTGGTTACAAATGTACAGCATATGCCATGCTTTATATACATACAGTATGTGTGTTCGATTATCCGGTTCCCTCGCCTATCCGGATATTTTTGTGGAAAACGGATGTGTGCGGTTATGCGAGGTCTGACTGTACATGGAACAGACCCTGCACGGTGTTCAGTTAATCCGTAGTCATGCAGTTTGCTTTCAAGCGGATGCGAGCTCACAGGAACATGCCAAGTGTGACCTTAGTACACTAGGGTTCTCCCATAGTGCAAACTTTTAAAAGTTGTACTCTGCAATACGATTATAGTTCATTGGCTGCAAAAAATCAAGGCGAGGCGCTCTTGGGGTACCTTACGGCGCATGTATAAGGCAAAGCATCATGACTGAGGACACATGGAAATGCACGCCGAACTATGTTCTAGCCTTCTACTAAGTTCTAGGTCTCGAGATGACTGGTCTCACTCACTGAAGTAGTCACACAGAGTCAGTAGAGTCTCGTGACCAAGAACGTCACTCTGACGGGCCAGGCTAGGATTCTCTTAAAAACAGCATTCTGGCCAAATTCTGAGAGCACACTCACATGCGCAAGAACACCTGTATTCTAGGGCGGCAGTACACAAATGGACCCATTGTGCAATGACGTAATTTGTACCATAAACACCCCACACAGCCACCTGGGCATGGTCGTCTGGGGTGTTGAACAGTGCAGTGCTGATCCCAGCGCACTCACAAGCATTTCTCATACATTCCATATTCGGCAACGCGCAATGGGTCTATAGTATTAGTAAGCACACACCGCCATTCTCACCAGCTTAAACCTGTGGCGTTCTTCTTGGTATTCCGGGGTGGACATTCTTGGGCACCGCGTTCTTTCGCGCACAACTCTAACTGAGGCACAGGTTTTATAGTAGAACACATCCAGCACACATGCGCACTTCCACATGTCACCAGCAAACATTTTTTATTGCTTTCTTGTCTGAAAACAGTGATATCATGGAGCTAAGCTTATCAAGACTGTTGCAGAGACTACAAAACCAAGTTAGTTGAAAATTGAACAACCGTACAGGAAATTCAGGAATGCAATGATCCTTAGAAGTAGGACACACTTCAGGCTCTTGAACATTGTGTGAACACTTTCAAAATGTTCAAGAGCCTGAAGTGTGTCCTGCTTCTAAGTAGCATAACGTACAGGCTATAGGAATTTCAAATCTAAGTGCGGCTGTAAAAAGGAGCTGACAGGAGAGACCTCCTCCGATGCACTTGTCCAGTGGCGGTGGATAGGAATACAGAGAAGGGGATAGCGTAACAATGAATACCAGTGCTCACAGCCTGCCAAGTGACAACACACCATTTACACCAGTGCAGCACTACGTCATGTATAATGCCAAAGGACTTGCTCATGCAAGGCTCCTGTCCTGTATGGTATAGAAGCCGATAAAGTCTGATCCTGATGCAATGTACTAAATTCTTGCCAGAAAACAAAGACTGCAAGAGTGCTGTCCATTGTGAAGGCGCCATTTTGAAGTGCTACCACTGCTGCTGCTTCTGGTAAACGTACTGCTGCCCTGCCTCACGTGGTTGCTGAAGCGCTCAGACCCCAAAAGCACGTATGGAGGGAACAGGTGGCTAAGTTTACTATCACCAGCACACAACAGCAGAAACAGGCTGCTGTCAGAGTCCCAGGAAATCGACTTCGGCCATTCGTGAAACATGAGTGAGTATAAATACCAGGGAACCCAAATCGTATGAGTTGTTCGCAATCATTGCAATGTATTTCCAGCTTGGTGTAGAAGAACTCAAATAAATCGTACAAGGTGATTTCAAATTGATTGCACTCAGCTCTGTCCACTTGCAGCAGCCTGCTCCCCAGGCACGTCCTCGAATCCGTCGTTATCGATTGGCTCAGTTACTGGAACTTCTGATCCTGGCATGTTGATGCGCTTGAGGAATGACTCCAGCAGTGATTTGTTCAAATGGTCAGTCATCGTCAGATCCTCTTTGTAGTTTTCCGACGGCAGAGGGTCAGGGTTTGGACCGTTCTCGATGGCGGCCACGGCTGCGTCGTCCGCATACTCCTGATCTTCTGGAGCGCCATCCTGTGCGGCATCTTCTATAACCTCTCCTACCGGAGGATCACCACCTTCGTCAGCTGCCATTTTCAACTCAGAATATTACAAAATCAAAATCGCAGACAGTCCAAAACAACAGCCAACCAGAAAATCGAGCTTGAGCAGTACGACTACGAGGATCGATATCCCGGCCGGACGTCGACCCACCTACGTCACACTCGCAGCTCGACAAACGAAAACAATGAAAAGGTGGATGATTTTTGCGCTGTCATGCCTGTGGCCGCTGTCATCATGGTCATGTGACGTGTCAACAAAGCAGCAAGAAGAAGATGACGATGCAGATCCGGCATTGCATGCCATCAGCTGTGCGTGCGTAAATCTTTCCAAAAATCACATCACGATATCGCAAGATCGACGTGACCAGACTGGACTTCAAGATTGACAAGAAGTCATAACTGGCGTTGTTGAAAATTTGTTCTTATCTGTTCTGGAAAGATGGACTTCTACACGTACCCGTAAATTAGAATTTCGTTTCTGGATGGCTGAATTAGCGGAGAAGGATGCGGCCCCTAGCTCGGCGAAAGGAATTGAGATAATGGCGCTGGGGCAACAAGGATCTTCGTCCAGCGACCCGGAGCGGTCTGCAATCCTCAGCTCAAACGGCGGACAGGCAGCCACTCTCTACACTGGAGATGCCCGAGCAGTGGAGGGTGCCGAGCGGCCCATGGTGCTAGCATGGAAGAGTATCAAGCGCATTGTGGGATTCCGACAGACACCCGTTGGTCTAGAGGCGGGCAACAAGCGCGCAGTGGCGGCCCTGATCGTTCTGTTTTTCGTGTCAGTCCTGAATCAGGCTGATAGATGGGTTCTGCCCGTGGTAGCCCCGGTGGGCATGAGGTGCTACCTGACTGGAGACTCCTGTTCAAATGCGTCTCGCAGCGAGGCATCGTGTGGCTGCGTGGACTTCAACACGTATGACCAGGGCGTACTGACCGGGCCGGCGTTCTGCGCCGTGTACGTCATCTCGGGTATTCCACTGTCGTATGTCGCCGACCGCATCTCACGTACCTGGGTGCTGGCCGTGGGACTTACCTTCTGGTCCATTATGGTGTTTGCTACGGGCTTCGTGAAGACCACGTGGCAGCTGTACTTAACTCGCATGGGCCTGGGAATCGGCGAGGTGAGGTTTGCTATGCGTACATGCATGCTGGGGAGTTGGAGTTTGAGGCAGAGCGTAGGAGAGCGTGAACTGGGAAATGATGTGGGTATTAGTGCCGGGCCGCAACCCGTTCTAGTCACCTTTGAGTCAAGACCCGATGTGTGTGTGTGTGTGTGCGTTTGTGCGATGTATGCCATTGCGGGTCTGGTGCTGGCACTGTTGTGTGCTGTGTGTGTGTGTATGTGTGCGTGCGTGTGTGTGTGCGTGCGTGTGTGTGTGTGTGTGTGTGTGTGTGTACAGGCGACTTGCACACCAGTTGCCTTTTCCATGTTGTCGGACTTCTTTCCACCGCACTTGCGTGCACTGGCACTCTCTTGCTACATGTCCGGCGTCTACTTTGGTAAGTCAATGTGTGTCAATGTGTGTGCACGTGTGCAAGCGCTTTTGTGTGTACTGGTATGTGTCTTGGGGATGTGTGTTATTTACGTGAAAGTATGAGTTTGTGCATGCGCAACAAGCGTGCAGTTGATCTACATGTGTGTGCATGTGCTACGCTTAACTTTGTGTCTCTCCACGCACACACTGGTGTATGACATCGTTTTCAGGTGGAGCTACGGCTTATGGACTGGGAGCATTGTCTGATCAACTTTGCTGGACATGGCTGTTTAGAATATTCGGTATTGCTGGCTTCATCATGCTGCCCGCTATATTTATTGTGCTGAGGGAACCCGAACGTCGCCGAGACGATATCGTACCGAAGGAGTCGGCAGCCGACCCTGACGCTAATTACACATTGCTGGTAAGTCGTGTTTCACTTGTGTGCACGTGTGTATGTGCACGTGCGCGTGCGTATGTGTGTGTGTGCGTATGTGTGTGTGTGTGTGTGTGTATTGTGAGTGTGTGTGTGTATGTGTGTGTGTGTGTGTGTGTGTGTGTGTGTGTGTGTGTGTGTGTGAATTTTCCCGTGGGGCGGATGTACGACCAGACACAGACAGACCCTTTCAGATCCTTTGGGGACGTAAAGTTTAAATGGCGTGAATAAGTGACCGGTCTCTAGCTTCTATCCTTCACCTACAATAGCACAGTAATGTTCTGTTGTGTCTGATCATAGGGTGGTGGCGTCCCACGGAAGCGGAAAGGTGGCTCTTGACCCGCCCTGTACGTTAACCCGTTCATTTTTTTGTGTGTTTAGGAAACTGCCAAGACGCTGTTCAAGTGCCCGCCATTCATTGCACTGTGTGTCGCAGCATCCGTACGCAATCTGGGTGGCTACTCGCTGGGAAGCTGGCTTGCCACCTTCTATCGTGTTCATTATGACCAGAGTGCAGAGCAGTATGGTGCTACGGTAGCCCTGGTCTCACTCTTCGGTGGCTTACTCGGATCAATGGGTGGCGGCTTGTTGGCAGATATGTGAGTGCTCTCTGTCTGTGTGTCTGTCTCTGTGCGCTGTGTGTCTGTCTGGCTCTCTCTCTCTCTCTCTCTCTCTCTCTCTCTCTCTCTCTCTCTCTCTCTCTCTCTCTCTCTCTCTCTCTCTCTCTCTCTCTCTCTCTCTCTCTCTCTCTCTCTCTCTCTCTCTCTCTCTCTCTCTCTCTCTCTCTCTCTCTCTCTCTCTCTCTCTCTCTCTCTCTCTCTCTCTCTCTCTCTCTCTCTCTCTCTCTCTCTCTCTCTCTCTCTCTCTCTCTCCTTCTCCCTCTCCTCTCTTCCAACCAAGCTTCCCCAGTTGCTCTTACAATTGAGTCATTTACGTTCAGATTGCCTTCTACACTTTCTAGTGAACATACGTAGAAGGACAAGGCTGTGTTCATGGCTGTGTTCATGATTGTTTTCAGTAAAGGTCCTACTCTATATCATTGCCTTTTGTCAGCTTTCTGTTGGAGAGCACCCATAGTGGCGTTGCACACTTTTGGTGGTTGCGTTCTTTATCCAAACACACCAGGTATTCCATGTTCTCACGCTAACGTTACTGCCGGGGAATTCCCTGTTGTTGACAGCGTGCTCTGTCTTGTGCTGCTGCTGCTGCTGCTATCACCCAATCTTGTCTTGTTGTTCCAGGCTCTCTGCTAGGGGTGCCCACTGGAAGGCTTACGTCATAGCTGTCTCTCAGGTAAGGCTGGTGATGTCATACCCATACTTGTGTGATGATATGGGCCACCGCCAGCTAAAACATGTCTAAGGGTGAAGAAAGGTATTCCAGAAAAAATGTCACTTTGCTCAGCAGATGCTTGGACTAGATCTCCGAAAAGTTCGACAATATTCTCACGCCACCGGTTGATGAATGAAGCACAGCGGGAACGTGCTCCAGAGTAACACTTCTTTTGTCCGCCATGTCTCAAATTTACGAAACCCCAAAACACGTGTTTAATAGCTGACTGCGGCCCATATCATATCTCCAGACACACAGCTTGGCATTTAGCCTAGGCCCTCTCCACCCTGTTATACAAAACAGATTATGAATCTCTTTGTTTGCTGACATTCCTGTGTATGGCTATAAGCAGATCAATACAGTTCTGAATGGTACCATTCGGCTGTTCTATAGTGGGTATAAGCAGTTTAAAATACTCTAATTTCAGAAATTTTCGGTGCTCAATATTTTCGGTATGAGGGCAAAAGGCCAGGTTAGGTGAACAGAAATGTTCGGTACAGAGAAGCAGTTCCCTATTGGATTATGTGTGTTAGTGTTTGTTCGGTGTATTGAAATTTTCGGTATGAAATAGATACACTGAAAGTACCGAAAATAAAAGTACATCGAAAATTTGTGAACTTACAGTACCCAGCCTACTGACAGTAGGTCACTCATTTCGGGGGGGGGGGGGGGGGGGGAAGGGTACAGACAGTTTGAAAATGAGTTCTTTAAGGAAAGCCCTCCTTGTTTTATGAAAATAAACAAAAGGAGAAGGAATAACCTGCGCGGAGACTGCACTGTTCTATTCATCGCTTTTGTTACAAAACAGTATGCGTTAGGAAATCGTTTAAATGGCCGAAGACTTAACAGGTATGCACACGGCATGGTGGTGTTGAATGATCATCAAGAAAACCCAAACCGAAGAGTTCAAGATATCAAAGCCACGTACGTAGAACACTAAATGTTGCTCTGTATGCAGCGCAGGGTCAGACATCAGCACTTTGAAATGTCAGTAGAGAGGTTCTGCTATACATGAAACGCAGAGAAATCACGTAGGCCCGGGAACTCTCTTCGCGTTCCCGTAACGTAAAGAAAACCTGTTCTGCTCGACGTTCGTGTAGAAAAATCACGTGGAATGTGTACTGGGAATTTCCCCTTCTATATTTGGCAGTTTTCTGCCCGCAGTTGACCGAGACCCAGCAGACCCGTACGCATTTTCGCTGCGTGTGCCACAACGTAGAGAACCTCATCTACGCGTAGAAATCTGGACCAAAAACACTCGAAGCCGTAGACTCTAACCCAGACACCTGCTCTCTACGTGATTTCTCTACGTTTCACGTATAGCCTTTCTCATGTTGGATTGGAAGCAACTTTAAAAGTGAAATAGGATCCAAACAGTAAGGAGATGGTAGAGAGGTTACGCTCCGCACATTATTTTTGACGGGAGGCGCAATTTCACGTCAAATTTCGACATGAGATGCAGCTCTCTCGCCTTGTTTTCCAGCGCGCGAGCCAAACAACGCGAGCGTAATTTTCGCGTCGCGTCGAAAATATCGTGCGTCTTAACCTCTCCATTTCGCCAATGCATCGCGGATAGGAACGGCAGGGCAAGGGCACGTAGAGAGCATTTTAAAAGTAGCAGCTTGCAATGCGTCTTGTTAGCCTGATCACGCCACTCGGCTTCTCTCTGTCGATACCATCACCAGCACTAACACCTAGTCCTCTAGGACCGTCACGTGATCTTTTCCGACTAGAGGTTGGCGTGTACCCTTTCCCTTCTGACTGGAGAACAGGGGTTGGTATTTCCGGCACCGAGTACAGTCATGGTGTTCTGAAAAAGGGTTTGTAGCATGCCTAGCAGAATCAGGGGTGGAAAACTGTGGTGTGCCATCTGCAGTGGTCTCACTCGGGTAACCGGGGCTGGCCGAATTGGTCTAGCCAAGGGAGTACAATCAATCCACCCCTTTTCATCACATGCCATATCGAAGTCAAGGAGAAATGCTTCAAAGTCTTCATTTTCCTTGCTTAGAGGGGAAGTATACCCTAAAATCAAATTTTCACCAGTTGTAGTCTTCTGGGTGCTGAGTCGAATGGTCTTGGTCCGAGGAAGCTGCGACGCTCCCTTCCTACTTGAATCCCAATCGAACTCGCGCACTTCCACCGAAACTGGGTGACTGCGCCCTACTAGATGGGGATTTGTATGCAAAATGTCACTAAAAGCGCCATTTCGTTCTTATAAAAGCACGGATGACCGCGATTGGCCCATATGTTGTAGTCTTTTGGACGCTGAGTCGACTGGTTTTGGTCCGAAAAGGCTGCGATGCAGCGTTCCTCCTTTATTCCCAATCGAACATGGTTGAACAAGCGGTCACGTGCTCCTGGGTGCCCAAATCACCTGGTCACCGCACCAGCAGGCGACAACTTTCACACCAAGGTTCAACTCGAGTTCAACTCGAGTGACAGGACTGCACCCAAAAAAGGTCAAACAGGCTAGTAAGTTGTACCCTGCAGGCACGGTGACCAGGCGACTGGTGTACGCAGGAGCACGTGACCGCTTCTTCAACCATGTTCGATTGGGAATAAAGGAGGAACGCTGCATCGCAGCCTTTTCGGACCAAAACCAGTCGACTCAGCGTCCAAAAGACTACAACATATGGGCCAATCGCGGTCATCCGTGCTTTTATAAGAACGAAATGGCGCTTTTAGTGACATTTTGCATACAAATCCCCATCTAGTAGGGCGCAGTCACCCAGTTTCGGTGGAAGTGCGCGAGTTCGATTGGGATTCAAGTAGGAAGGGAGCGTCGCAGCTTCCTCGGACCAAGACCATTCGACTCAGCACCCAGAAGACTACAACTGGTGAAAATTTGATTTCAGGGTATACTTCCCCTTTAACTGCCAAGGAAGGACCACCAATCCCCGAACAAGAGAACGATACGAAGTCACCCGCTGGATAAGAATGAAGCGATGGACACGAACTTAAACTGGGGTACCGGCTAGCTCAGTCGGTAGAGCATGAGACTCTTAATCTCAGGGTCGTGGGTTCGAGCCCCACGTTGGGCGTCACTGTTGTGGAATCTTCCCCCGCTCCCCGCCACACAACCACTCTCTGAGTCATTCAAGCGGACAAGAGGACAATACGGTTACTTGAAGTTGAACAATATCTCTTGGAATCAATAACCAACTGGTGGGCGAGAGAACGGGGGAGAAAGACAACGAAATAATAAACAACCAACAGTTATAAGCAGAGAAAGGGCGAACACATCGAAACGACCAATGAGCGACCAGTACGTACAATACATGTGACCAGAACCAAGACAACAACACCGTTGACAAATCACACCACTCCCTCGCACCCGAACCCGACTCGCACAGCGCATGCTCCACATAATCCACGCATGCGCAACAACTAGTAGACAAACGCACTCACACAGGCAGAAGCAGATCCACACACTCTGACAACGCATACACCACATATACCACGTCATACGCATCACACCCATATACTGCACACCACGCATCACTCCCGTACAGACAGCAGACCATATTTGACACCGGACAGGACAAGACAGCGAGACCAGAAACAACAACGGGTGTAAATAATAAGCGTATCGAATTTCGCAACACTTACGCTGGAAACTGGAAGGATGGAGGAAAGTTCATAGCAACGGACGTAGCCAGGGATCTCAGGGTCGTGGGTTACGTTTAAGTCGGGCGTCAATGTAGTCAGGGTTACGTTAAAGTCGGGCGTCAATGTAGTCAGGGTTACGTTAAGGTCGGGCGTCAATGTAGTCAGATGTACACTGTATATCTGATTACAATATCCACAAGCAGCGCTGTCATAGGGGCTGTCATGACAACGGACGGGTCCAGTTTTCTTCCGCTCGATGATGTTGTGCAGCGCGCAACGTAGCAGCGCTGCCTTGCTCGTCGGAGTTAGTTTCAGAGACAGCATGGAACCGTTCCTTCAGGCGACCAAGGGGACACCCAACCACTCTGCGGGCACGGATTTGGGCATGATTGAAGCTGGTTTCTTCAGCAGTCAGATTGTTACCTGCATAGATCTTCATGAGGAAGGGGCTCAGGGAGAATACGCTGTCGCCGATCAAGAATGGGCAAACAGACGCATCACCACACTGCCATGCAGGGAAATTCAGCCATACTCCGTTCTCAACATTGATTTTCAGTCGTCTCTGATTGTACACGGCGGCATCTACAACACTTCCTGGAGCACCGACGCCCACACACGTGAATAGCCCGTGGCTGTTCACACATGCAAACAAGAGGATTGCGGAATGCTGCTTGTAACACCAATAACTGTCGCCATGCAGTTCAGGTTTTAACAATCTTCACAAACAGAAACATACCGTCAACAGCACCACCGCGGCACACATTGGCAAATTCGTCGTATCTTCAAATCTCCTCATGGTGGTGCGCTGCAGCTTCTCTCCTCCTTAACACGGGTAGTATAGTGTTATTGCCAGGCATTTGGCAGGAGAAATCGTTCGGCGCAGACGCGTTGATTGTTTCTCAATCACTCCACCATATCTCTCTCTCTCTCTCTCTCTCTCTCTCTCTCTCTCTCTCTCTCTCTCTCTCTCTCTCTCTCTCTCTCGGATGAAACAGTATGATGCCTTGTTCCAGAATCACGATCAACGTTCTCTGCTCCATTCTGGACTGTGTTTTCCTTGACGTGCTCCGCCATGATCCAGATACAGGTCGAACGTTTCCCACGTCCCAAGCACTTCCTTCTTCCCCAAACCCAGTTGGCACACGATACTCATCGTGTGGGTTGGGGACTGTCCACAACTGACTACCAACAGGAACATGTTGTGTCACAACATACATCGATATGAGAGAAAAAAACCCGGATCTGCACTATTTACACCGAGAGTGGATGTGTGCTCAACATTGGGGGAATAATGATACTTGGTGGTGACATCTGAATTTAGAATGTCCCCGCTGCAGCAATCTGCAAGCGTCCTGTACTCCAAGAAGCACACTGGCGAATATCCTACCGAACGAGAACCTCAAAAGCCTCAAGAACTCCAATGAAAACACAAAAATGCCACGATCTGAAAAAAGGGAAATTTGATTTTTCCCCCATTTTCAAACCCCACCAGAGCCGAAAGTGGCCTCTATGCTTCGTGTCTAATGTAGTCTGAATGCAGGTTAACTGGTTGGGGATCTTCTGCACGCTCTCAGCTCAGTAGTGTACACCTCTGGTAGCTCACTGACTACTTTGCAGTCTGTTTAAAACAGTTTTGGAACCCATAAATGTATAGATAACGACGGGTCAATCGTCAGTGTCGTGATGTTTAAAAAGTTCATTTGATTGCATCACAGCAACTACTTATAGTCCTGGGTTTGGCCCTCGGCTGGGGATAATGTCGGCAGAAACAATAGGCAGAATTTGCTACTTGTTCTGGTATGTTTCATGCATGTTTGGTATAGCACTGCTTGTCAAGCAGAATCTGCCAATTTTTTCTAGCACTTCTACTAGTATCCACCAAAGGCTACCTTGGTGACCATCAATATTTGAGATTTCTTGCATTTGGCCAAAGAAGTGGGAGTTCATGATGGGGGAATTGAGATTTCTTGCATTTGGCCAAAGAAGTGGGAGTTCATGATGGGGGAATTGAGATTTCTGATACAGAGAAACCTGTCTAAGACTACGACCGCTCAAGGGACCTTCAAAAATGTGGTCTCTGCTGCCAGGTGGTCTCCTTATCCAGGGTCGTTTGACTGCAAATAACATCCCTTGATCCTGGTTGCAAGTGGTCTTTAGGGGCAGGTGGTCTTTAGGGGCAGGTGGTCTTTAGGGGCAGGTGGTCTTTAGGGGCAGGTGGTCTTTAGGGGCAGGTGGTCTTTAGGGGCAGGTGGTCTTTAGGGGCAGGTGGTCTTTAGGGGCAGGTGGTCTTTAGGGGCAGGTGGTCTTTAGGGGCAGGTGGTCGCATTATCAGGTTTTACTGTACTTCAAAACATTATGGTCAGCTCATGATAGGGCAGCTACCTGGCTCGATCACTGGTGGTCCCTGTCGATGAGTCTCCGCTGTGAGGAATTCTCTTTATTTTGTAACCTTAGTGATTTTAAAGAGCATTGCGTCTGGCCTAGTCCTTGTTTGAGCCCTCCCTCGTGACCGACAGTTTAAAAACAAACATGTTTCTCTTTCCTGCTCTCTCGTCGTGTGTTCGTGTGTGTGTGTGTATGCGTGTGTGTGAGTGTGTGTGTGTGTGTGTGTGTGTGTGTGTGTGTGTGTGTGTGTGTGTGCGTGTGTGTGTGTGTGTATATGTGTGTGTGGATGTGCGTGCATGTATGTGTGTGTCTGTGTGTGCATTGCGTATCTACAGGTTATTGCGACACCCTGCATTATCGGTGTGTTCATTGCACCAACCGCCACGGCGTCATACGGCATTCTCTTCCTGGCCTACCTGACAGCGGAGACGTGGCTGGGGTGCGCTGGAGCAGTGGTGCAGGTATGTGTGAGCTCTCCAGTGGGACACACATCTGTGTGTGTGTGTGTGTGTGTGTGTTCAGCATGTGCGTGTATTTAGGAACTACTGGTGATTGCATTCATACAAACACACTACTCTGTCTCTCTCTCTCTCTCTGTCTCTCTCTCTCTCTCTGTCTCTCTCTCTCTCTGTCTCTCTCTCTCTCGCTCTCACTCTCACTCTCTCTCTCTCACTCTCTCTCTTGTCCAGGATATAATGCCACGAGCAGTACGCTGTCAGGCATCAGCCGTGTACGTGGCTATTAGCACGCTGATCGGCTGTCTTGGTCCGCTGGGCATTTCCGCCATTCTGGACACGGATGCTTGCGACCCAGACTACAAGTTCGCTCTGCTGGTCACCGTGCCATCATGTTATATCGCCTCGTCGCTGCTCTTCGCCGGCACCGGCGTTCTGGTGCATCGTCGCTTTGCCTCCGCACCGGTCCGCAGTGGTGATGGTACCGTTGCGCTCACCGAACACGATGAGCTAGACCAGCAGACCAGAGCCGGGGAGAGAGCTGGCGAGAACGGAGTGCTGCCAACCACCAGCAGTGACATCTGAGTACATGTACGGGCGATGTCGAACCCGCTTGCCAATGCTAGTGGTGTAGTGTTTGAGCAGCTCCGTGCGTGTCACCGTGTTGAGCAGCTCCGTGCGTGTCACCGTGTTGAGCAGCTCCGTGCGTGTCACCGTGTTGAGCACGACTGTACATACTGTATATAGAGGGTTTCCTTGGCGTCCGTGTGACCTATCGCCAGTGCTGTCTGAATGCGGCTGCTGATCATAGTACAGTGTATGAGCTAGCTCTAGAGCAGCTGTTCTCTTGAGTCAGGCTGGTCGTACTGTTGAGTGGGTTGTTGGCTATGCTGGCTGATCACCCCCTTCTCTAGCTGTAGTGGCTGCTATTGTAAGTACAATGTAGCGTTGATTGTACCCATGGTAGTTAGTTGTTGATGCTGCTACTGAGATACAGTGCTGTTTGGGTAACTCTGTACATGCTTGCCTAAACCAGTTTTACTATTGTAGCAGTAGTGCAGTAGTGCTGTCCAGTGTTGCAGTATAGCCACCGCTGTGACTCTGATGCCTACACTGCTGTTTGCCATGCACCACCTTGCCGCAGCGCATTGTCGGCATGGCGTGTTCACCAGAAGATTGACTCATCGCTGAGGCAAGCTGCAGCTTTGCCGTGCGCTGTGCTTGGTGTTCCGGAGTGACGTCGCTCTCTGATGTGCCACACTTCGACTGGGCCATAGCTCGAGATAACAATTTTTTACAGATGCCTCTCTTCTTTCTCAGACCCCCTACCAATCTTTTTATGATGAGCATACATACTAGACTCTCTCTAGTTAGTTACCCCCCCCCCCCCTCCCCTCCAGAAAGCTAGACAATTTTTATTTCGTGGTTTTACGTGTGTATGCGGGCAGATTTTTGTTCGTGGATTATGCTGACTGGAGCACGTTGTACGAGCGGAACCATGGAATTCTAATTCGTTTTGTGGCAACACTGGCCAAACATTGATTTCTAATTCTATAATAATTATTATGAAAGACTTGTTTGAATTCTAATTATTGTCAAGTTTATTCTCATTTTTAATACGTCGACGTACTAATCTATCAATTGTTTATTCTATTTCCGTTCAAACTGTCATGGTTATCATGAGAAGATACGTGCGACGGCTACCGAGTTTAATATTTTTAAAATGAGACAAGGCCTGGTCTCTAAAGCTGTATCTCGTGCTGCTGCGCTTTGGTTGTTATTTCACTTGAGAGGATTTCGCTGAATAATAATAAGCTGATTTGTTTGTGTGATGCGACGACTGTATTAATGTCCTTGTCTTTGTGTACTATTGAGACGCGGCTGCAGCCGCTTTCATCTTGCAAGTCACGCAGTGCACCACAGTCCACGCCCAATGGCCTGCCGCATGCCGTCTGCAATGTGTGTACATTTCTTCTTCTTTTCTTTTTTTTTTTACAAGTAAAAGCATTTGGACCAGGTTCATCGTCAAAGGCAATGTATTGGAGGTGTGCGTGTGTGTGTGTGGGGGGGGGGGGGGGGTGCAGTCATTCCAACAGACACAGTTATTGTGTCGCAGTCATCTTCTTTTAAAATCATCAGTGGAACATTAATTTTTTCGACGCTAATTCTTTTCTGAAGCTACATGCTGAATAGATGAGCCCATGATACTGCCCTAATCCCTAGAAAATCATTAAAATTTTGTTGTTGTTGTTGAATTCTTCATTCTCACGCTGGCACCATCGCCAATAAGAGGTTGTTGTTGTTGAGTTCTTTATTCTCACAATGGCACCATCGCCAATAAGAAGAAGTTGTTGTTGTTGGTGGTGGTGGTGGTGGTGGTGGTGTTGTTGTTGTTGTTGTTGTTTCAAATCTTTATTCTCACATTGTTTCAAATCTTTATCTTTGTTGTTGTTGTCGTTGTTGTTGTTGTTGTTGTTGTTGTTGTTGTTGTTGTTGTTGTTGTTGTTGTTGTTGTTGTTGTTGTTGTTGTTGTTGTTGTTGTTGTTGTTGTTGTTGTTGTTGTTGTTGTTGTATGCTTTATCTATAGTGGGAATCAAAGCAGGCATAAGACTAATAACAATGGACCGGTTTTTTTGCGTGAAATTATCGCATAATTGATCTGGTCCTTATTCAGGTGTTCAGCTCTGACCAGGAAAGTAATGATCTCTCGTCTGAGCGAAATACATGTATTCAGAAAGCCTTGCACCATCGAGCTGTTTTTGATCATGGGCAATCTGCCATAGGTATTCGCTATGATTATAATAGATGAGCAGTGCGCTAGTGCATTGGTCATATGTGCATAGCTACTTGGATATTCCAGTTTTGCCCTAGAAATCGTTCTTGCACTTTATCGGTACATGTATTTTCTCTGATGGTCATTTCCGTTTTGTACTATTTCTGTGAATCCTTGGGCTGAATTGGCGGAACTTGTAAAAAGCTCTTACACTATGGATGCCAAAAAGGCCCAATGCTGTTGGGCAGCTAGGGAGTAAAATACGTTTAGTACTTGTAGCAAGAGTATAACCCGGGCTACCCCCAGCAGCTCTTGTAGTTTGGAAGATAATGCTGGAAAAATTGGCAGATTCTGCTCGAGGAGCAGTGAAATTGGCAGAACCATACAACCCTTATGGCAGGCATTTGTACATGTAAATTCTGCTCCATTCCTTATCCACATACCAAACATGCATGAAACATAACAGAAAAAGTACCGAATTCTACCAATTGTTCTGCCGGCATTATCCGTCAAGGACTACCGGTATGGAGTGGATCGGACCACACCATGCCGGACACAACGCTCAGCTGCTGCTCTAAAAGTTAGCCGCAAAGCAACGCGGCAAGAACAGGTCACACCCACCCACGAAGTCATCTGTGAAACTCGCTTCCTTGATTGGCTGGAGAGGTGGCATTCCTGGGATGCACTCGCATTACACATTGCTCGTCACAGTGGGTTGTCCGTTTTCATTCCCCTACAAACAATTAGTCAATGCAGAGTCTGTCCGTACATGTGTAGTGGCTGCTGAAAACGTGAAAGAACCCGGCATCCTCATTGTCTTTTTACCGTTGTGGTATTTGGCCGGTGATTACCGGTACATAGCCGCTGAGCGTCGTCACACACGTACTGCACACTTCGATGACTGAAGTAGAAGTACAACATCGGTTTTTGGTTTGTAAGACCTTTTAGCTTCAGCTTCGTGAAACAATGGCTGTGCTCGTACAAGAACGATGGTGGTGGCGACCGGCCTTCGAAGTCATCAACCGACTCATCATACGCGTACACGGCAAGCGGCAAGAGCTAACTAACTTTGACTGTTTGAGTGCATCTATTGCGAACATGGGCGCCATTTTTAGGACGTCTACTGTTATAGAGCACAGAGTCAGTCAGGGAGTTGTTGTTGTTGTAGAAGTTTTTTTAACGTCGCACCACAAACAGGCGATTTCGCCTCCTTTGATACATGTGGACGACAAAAGGAATGAGAGAGAGAGAGGGGGGGGGGGGGGACAGAAGTACGGGGAGAGGAAGGGTAGAAATAAATAAGCAATCAACCTCAGGGCTACACCAAAGCAAAAACGGAATGGGAACATACTATGTACAAAATAGCTTCATACATATATTGCAAAACACGTTTACTATTCTTCAGTCCGCTATACCACAGAAACACACTAGCCGAAAAGCATGGGAGTCGTATAATTATTATACGACTCCCTGGATGGAGTCAGGTGACACTCTGGACGTCGTTGAGCTGATGAGCCCCGCATGATGATCAGTCACAACAGTATCGACGTTACGTTATTGTTTGTTTGTTTGTTTGTATACTTTATTTGAATTCGCAAATCCAAACGCGAGCACAAATGCTCAATGACATAATGGACCAATACAAGCATGCTCCGCTTTTCTAAAAGTTATGAAACGGTTTTAGAAAAGCGAAGCATGCCCGATGAATGCATGCTTGCGTTGTCTCGTTGAATGATGGCGGTGGTGTACGTATCGGCGTCGTTGTGTGGATATCACTATCAGCGTCGGGACAACTAGCACCACAAGGGGTCTGGGCTACAGACTGCAGTATGCTGAAAGCCAGGAAGCCGTCATGACAACTCACCGGTGCACCGCTGAAAGTATAACATGTATGGTACATGCACAACAAGCCTAATAATATCCCGGCCACTGGTAAAAAGAGAAAAGAAGAACAAGGAAGAACAAGTACTAGTACTGGAAAGTAAGCCTCGGATGGAGAGCCAAGGATTAATTAATTTAAAAGAAAGGACCAACATGTCCCATATCTCATGTTATTTCATACGTTAGAACCTTTCAAATTTGGAAGGCTGTTGGTTTGCGCATCCTAGACGTGATAGAGCTTATCATCAGGTCGTTGAATGTCAGTATCACATCAGTCAGTATTGTGCTAGCTGTTGCACCTTCTGACTACACAACATCTTGCTTGTAACTAATTACTTTGCTGGACACAAACTACGGATAACACGTAGCAGTTTGGTCCTTTCTTTCAAATTTAGTACTGGAAAGCGGAACATAAAATATGCAGACAAGCCAATTAAAAGGAGAGTGAAAAAAGAGAAATGATACGCGCACGGTAGCAGAGAACAGAAAGAGAAGAGAGCAGAGGAGATAAGAAAAAAATGAGAGAGAGAAGAGCGAGAGAGAGAAAGGGAGAGGGAGAGAGAGAGAGAGAGAGAGAGAGAGAGAGAGAGAGAGAGAGAGAGAGAGAGAGAGAGAGAGAGAGAGAGAGAGAGAGAGAGAGAGAGAGATAGAGAGATAGATAGATAGATAGAGAGAGAGAGAGAGAGAGAGAGAGAGAGAGAGAGAGAGAGAGAGAGAGAGAGAGAGAGAGAGAGAGAGAGAGAGTACCTGAGTTGGATAGTCCAGGGGAGTACTAAGCTATATCAGGAGACACGAACAAACTATACTTTTGGAGGGATGCTGATCTGTACGTACTTTAGTCATTTGGACTGCTCCGTGTTTCGTACAGACTGGATCAGGCAATTCGTCATCTCTATTCTTCTTTCTCACCATGTATATGTAGCAGTGCGTGTACGTTCTCTTTCGCCTTTCCCTCTACACTACAGTACTGTGCCGCTGTGCATCACGGTATTATGATTGTCTACTCCCTGATGCTATTAGTTAAAGCATAGGCTAAGGGGATCCCCTCGATAGCAGCCTCTGCCTGTATTTTCACACACTCTCAAAAATTCACTGGTTTGAGGGAAAGACACAAACGGGAAAAGTCTGAAGAAAAAACTTGATTATCACCACCAGGATTCGAACCAGGGATCTTCGCTCGTAGCTAGCGATGTTCCAACCACTGAGCTACGAACAAGATGACGTGTATTATCCTGTACTATACCCATACATCTGCACACCACTCTCCAAGTGGTCTCGGGGCTACACCATTCACTGAAAAAAATAGAATCTGACATCCGAATTTTCTGTCAAGGTCCATCTTCAGGAAGTACTTCGAAGTACGGCATACATGTATGTGCATGTCCGTGCAATCGTCACCTGGCACGATGCAGAGATCTAACGGCCGACGTCGGCCCCCTTTAATTTCGGATAAGGCTCTCTCATAGCGGTAGATAGTAGCTTTGATGTCTCGCTTCCAGCAATGTGTGCTCCGTAGATCAACGTGCGCCGGGGATGAGGAAGCACTGATATGACGGCTGTGCGTGGCAGTCGAGTTCGACTTCCCCTTCTGTCATGGAAATGTCATTGTGATTGTGGCTATCAAGAAACACCGCTAGCTTGGTGGAAACAACTCCAAAGCAGAATTGTTTGATTGACGAATAGGGTTCGTGCAGGTCCAAGCCTTACTAGCCCCATGGCAATGGACCTTCGCTCTCAAAAGCCGCCGGAATAATTTGATTGGAACACAATTTGAGAATTCCGGAGCGGTTCATTTTCGCTCGTCAATTTCAGCTAGCCCGAGGCATTCGCCTGCCTGCATTACTGAGACTGCCGATGGTACGTAGAGATGTTATGCAACGTCTACCTTAGAGTGTAAAAATGGTACGAAACAGGGTCTTTGAAAGCCGGCTTGAATGGTGGGCGTCCTCTAGAAGTAAGTAACTTAGTTACTTACACTCGAGCCAGCAGGCCTTTTCTATCCAGATTTACATGATTTTACAATTAGATATTGTCCGTACAGACGGTCTAACCTACAGGGTCCTTGATCGCCTGCGTGTAGGTCTACTTCGAACCTTTGTTGAATGTCAAGTCGCCTGAGAGCATCCACTAGTACAGCCATGTACATCAGGGGGAACGGACGGTCTCTGAGTGGTAGCCTTTGGCAGATAATGCTCGAAAAATGTGGCAGATTCTGCTCGAAAAGCAGTGAAATTGGCAGAACCATACAAAACTTATGGCAGGCACTTCCTTGAATTCTGATCGAATTCTTTATCTACATACCAAACATGCATGAGACATACCAGAACAAGTAACACATTCTGCCGATTTTTCTGCCGGCATTATTCGCCATGGGCTACTGAGTGGGCCCATTCTGGAAGTGAGTAACGATGAACAGAATGATAATACAAAGTCATGTCATGCTTCTCTTTGTTGTGTGAAGCATCCAGCGAGTAAACCACTCTATGGAATCTTCCGCTATAGTAGAACTATAGGAGAACTACTTACTTGAGCGGCTAAGCACTCTACTCCGTAAGGTACACATACCCATACAATATTCCCATTTCCTAAGAACTAACTTTGACTAGTAGCACATGTAGTATTGGTAGTACTGGTACACAGTACATGATTGTATTGGTTGAACAAATTGCATTGTAGGTGAGGGCTTCATGCGTCGAGTGCGCCCTTTGTTCCTGAGTGCGGTGCCCCGGCTGGGTGTGCTGCCCGCGCACCATCGCATGCACAAAGTCGTGTGACTACAATGTCACTGTATGTGGAGGGGGGGGGGGGGGGGCAGGGGCAATCGGGTGCTGAATGCCCGCGCTGTGCAGCACCTGCAGCCTGCCTGCTTATCATATCTGTGGTTCAGCTAGGTGGAGCAAGCGATCCGCCCGCGAGTCGTGCGGGTAGTAGTGGCCATTGACTGAGCATCCTGCCGCCGTGCAAAGCCACTGATTGCTAGCTGACAAGTCGTGATGAAAGACACAAGTACAAATGGACAGGATATAAAAACCACCAGAAGAAGAAACGTCCGAAAACGTTAGTCCGACAATAGGCAGACAGGACGAGTTTCTTGCCTTGCAGATCTCTCCCCCACTCTCTCTTTCTAGCCAGCACTGATCGTTGTAGACGACCAGAGTTGGTAATCATGTCTGACGTCTCCGCAGCGACTGAAGCCGGCACGCCAGGCCTCTTTGAGGTTCTGAGCGATGCGGAAGGAGCTCGCAGTTCGTCCGGCAACACTTCTCGACAGGAGGACACGGCCAAGTCCGCTTCTCCGACGAAATCGTACGTACATGACGAGAGTTACCGGGCCAGGTCTTGGCCATTTCTTACACCCATTATTGCCTCGTGTCGATTTCAATTTGTCTTTGGCTATTACAATGAGGTGTAACTCCGTGCTTCCGGTCCGTTATGCCTTTGTTCGTTGTTAGTGTTGACGCATGGAACGGGCACACAGGGCTGTGTGGAAATGGATAATATTATGATGAAATTTGCATGGCATGACTGACTCATTGCTGTCGGGTTATGCAGCGTGACAGCAGGACCGCAGCTGTGTCATAGTGTGTGGTGAAACTCAGCATTCGGACCAGATAATTGACAGCCATGACATAATAATTATTATTATTTGCATTGTCAAACAATGACGGAAACAGGGCCGCGAGTACATGTAATTCAACTGATTTGTTCAGCACATCACTGTAAAAGCATGTCGCTAGACTAGTGATGCAGTGCGGCCATCTCTAGTCGTGATGGAATCCATGCGCCATCGTGGATAGGGTTAGTTCGTATGGACTATCGTGCCTCAGGTTACGCTGCTGACCTGTGCACAAGTCAAAATGACAGCACAATCATGCAATCATTGGTGATGTGCAGGCGCTAGGCGTTAGCTGACAGCCTAGAGCATTCCAACTCGAACGCCATTCTTCGGAATCAGGATTCAGCAAAACACATGTACAGGGCTGCCTGGTGTGACTACTGCCATTACAGTACAGGTACAGGTACGCTGAAGAAGGAACTTAGAAATGTATTGCTATTGCCGGGTGTTAATTTGAAGTTTCGCAGTTGAATGTGTAGAATTCTGCACGTTTTTAAAAGTATGGTGGGGCTCCCAAAGAGTTTTTAAACTGCTGAACATGTCTGAAGTCAGGACATTTCCCATAGCCCCAACTGGTCGTGCTATTGTGTGAACTTGTTATGGACCTCCCCTGTACAACCAGGAAACAGGCAAAAACCTTGAATTCACGGGTGTCGGGAAGGGCTGTCCGCCGCTGGCGCTAAGTGAGGTCTTTGAAGTCGTTGCTGAAAGTTACTGCGTTTGACCGACTTCACTCTCCTGACACTGTCTGTAGTATGTAGCCTGGGTAGGCGGTAGCTTATTGTGAATTGTGTTTGAGAGTGAGTGTGTGTGTGTGAGTTTGCGTGAAGAGTATGTGAGTGTGTGTGTGTGTGTGTGTGTGTGTGTGTGTGTGTGTGTGTGAGTTTGCGTGAAGAGTATGTGAGTGTGTGTGAGTGGACCAGGAAACGCATTGTGCTCTTTGTCCTGCTGCTGTGACTGCACGTCCGGATGTGTGGTTGTGTAGTGTACTGCACGTACATGTCACGGTAGTAGTGTCCTTGGTGGGTTGAGTCACTCCATGATTTATTCAAAGCCCCCCCCCCCCCCTAAGTGAATAATGGCAAGAAGAAGAAGTAGTAGTGCCTGTATCCGTATCAGCGTAGCCAGTACTAGTATGAGCATGTGGGAAATGCTGTTGTAATCATGCCAATGACTGTGCTAGTACGAACACATTTACACATGTACGCTTATTAGTAGGATGGTGGTTACTGTTGCACACACATGCACATGTACATAATGGCGGTATGAGATACAGATTACAGTACCAGGAAGCCCTGTACATACTCTACTGCAGTCACGTGGTTTCGTTGTTTCCTGTCCACAAGGCCGGCCATTGTACCCGTTATTTCCTGTTCCAGAGCATGTGCTTGCAGTGTGTGTGAACTGCATGGTGTACTCCAGGAAATCCAGTTCTGGGGGGCAAGCCCACATCTCACACCCTGACCAAGTAGTAGTAAAACACGAACAACCCGCTCCAGTTTTACACCGTGCCGCTGCATGCTCTGTTCCGGCCTCTGTCTGGCGTTTGCATCACAGTACTCAGAGCTAGTGCCCTGGAACTTACTCTCTCTATCATAGGGGCTTCAAAGACATTAGGAAAAGCCCTCCAGGACTATTGACTCTTGTCCAGTCTTGATTACCGAAGTTTTCTTTCATCAATCTCTGCAACCGAGGTATAATAGTGGACAGAAGACTATACATGTACTGTCTTTAGGCAAGTATTAGTTAGTTTCATAAGATGAGTGTTTCTAGTTCTGGACATGGCTAGACGCTAGGCATGACTTGGGAAATCGGGAAGCGCAGACTCATGGCTGCATGCAACCAGCTCGTGCGTCATATCCTTCTTGATTGACGGTCGATGTGTATATTCCATGGGGCCATGAGTGGTTTTAAAGGGGCACTCCGGGAATATTTTCGGTGGTGTGTTCTCTTCATGGGTGCCTTGTATGGCCCCCAAGGAATGGGGAATCGCGAAAACTAGACCCAAAAAGTCGATATATGAAGCCAGGGAGGGCCAAGTTTGTCTCCTCTTTTGATGGTTTTGATGACGTCACGTGTGATTAGTATTCAAATTCTCTGCATTTGAAGATCTTAGTTGTTTGAATTTTCTGGTGATGAAGAACGATGTTTGGTCGACATTCCCAAGCTTCACAACTGCGGACCTACTCTAAGGAACCTGAAGGACCCTCTGAGGTGCCCCTGGTAGAAGCGCAGCCTGATGAGGGCCAGGAGATTGGAGCGGACGACTTCACTGGTCCGCGTACGAGGATCCCGAAATTCTCTATAATGTCGTGAGGCATATGGTCAGAACAGTTTTTTTAGACAAGCTGACACGAAGTCGGGGTGATGTGTAACGCACGTCAAAGGGCTGTCAATGCTAACAGCTGCAGCGCTCTCTCGACAGCGAAGGTAATCGACTGCCCTCTGCATCACCCCACATTTCTGGCAGGAACACCAATCGTTATTTCCTTGTCGACCAGTGAAGTCGTCCGCTCCAATTTCCTGGCCGTCATCAGGCTGCGCTTCTACCAGTGGCACCTCAGGAGGTCCTTCAGGTTCCTTAGAGTATGGTCGCAGTTGTGAAGCTTGGGAATGTTGACCAAACATCGTTCTTCATCACCAGAAAATTCAAACAACTAAGATCTTCAAATGCAGAGAATTTGAATACTAATCACACGTGACGTCATCAAAACCATCAAAAGAGGAGACAAACTTGGCCCTCCCTAGCTTCATATATCGACTTTTTGGGCCTAGTTTTCGCGATTCCCCATTCCTTGGGGGCCATATAAGGCCCCCATGAAGAGAACACACCACCGAAAATATTCCCGGAGTGCCCCTTTAAGTGCGACACTCAAGCCACTTCTCCCAAGCAGTGCTGTGCAGTTCAGAACAGTGTAGAGCGTACACAATGCTGAGTAATGGCGGCTTTATGGTGTTAACGTTTGAATTACAGTAAAACCTGGTTTAAGCGACCACCCCACGGTGCAAGCAAAAGCGGTCGTTAAAGCCAGGTGGTCTTTTGAACCAGGTCCCACAGTGTCTGTGTAGAACTGTCCGTGCAAGGGAAAACGGTTAAGAGCAGGTGGTCGCTAAACCCAGAGGTCCCTTACACCAGATGTTACTGTATTATTCAAAGTCACACGGCAATGCTAAGAGCCAATACTCAATCGTCTTGACTGGTATTGCCAGTGCTGTCTATGTTGAAACACGGTCGTACATGTACGGGTACTCGTACTCACCCTCCAACTGTCCAGCACTAGGCAGCAGGCAACAGTGCAGTGTGGTTTACTACTACTAGTACCTGCTCAGTGTCAGTGTAAAGGTCTCTTCATATCGATATCAGCACTTACTCTTTGTAGAGCAGTTTAGTCGGTATAGCCTCTTCTTGTACGGGCAAAATGCACATCTCATCAAACAGAGAGCAGTTTAGCAGTAGACTACAGTAGAAGTTTATCATGTAGACTACAGTAGAAGTTTATCATGTAGAGTGGGTCACGGTTCCACAGTGTACAGGGTGCCGGAAAGAGCTACGAGGATGTCTGGCAATCAGTACTGCAGTGCACACACGTCTGATTCGCGTACTTTTAGTGCTGAAGGATGAAGTACTTGAAGATTACCCGCATTGTTCGGATCCACATCCGCAACAGCATCACTAGCTTGATCGAGGCGTATCCTGGCCAGAACTACTACTCCATTCTACTTCTAGTAATGAACACGTCTCTCTGTAGTCCGTACACACTGAACATGGTATCAAAGTATTTTGCTCTTGACAAGCTGGGAGCCTATCTGCTCCTGATGGTAGTACAATGTAAGCTTTTCTTGATAGTATAGCTGGTATCAGGTACAGTATTCTGTCCTCACCATACATGTACTAGTACTTGACAAGTTGCACATGGTACTGCAGAGATATTATTATTATGATTACAAGGAGCCAGGGAAGAACAAAACCATTTCCCTGTCACTACGCTCGAGGTTCAGATTTAGTCGGTTGTAAGATTTGCTTGAGGGCACAAATTCAAATACACTCCAGCCTGCTTTCACTTCATTTCATTGTCCCCGTGATGGTCTAAGACCGAAACGTTGACGAGTATGATATAGTTTCGAACAGTTGAGTGAAAAGCAGCACAGTATGAGTTGTGGGAGTTACCTCACGACGCATCAGGGTTACTCAAGACTGAAGGTGATCATTGTGATACTCTTTGGTGCATGTTGCCGGTAGAGTTGACAGATGGTAAACGGAAAGTATGTTCAGCACGCACAGTGCGGCACAGTGATTACTGCATGTACATATGTATGGCCTCCCTTAAGGCAACTTGGCCAAGCCCCAGTCATTACCAGCAGGTGGTCACCTTTGTACGTCTCGGAGGTGCCCCAAGAGGGCAACGTTCGGGCCTGCGTGGGGCCATTGTATATTTTAGCAGTCTCCTAGTGTAGTAGGGGTTTCACTATCACCGTGTGTTCTGAGTAGGTGAGGTTAGTGACGGCACGTGATCGAATCACCTGTTCATTACCATCCATGGCAGTGTATACCGGTAAACAGTATTGCGTATGGGCAAGAGTTATGTACTCTTGGTATGGGTGGAGCTGTTCAGTGATGGAAAGCAGATTACACATGTACATGTACAATGTACACCACAAAAGCAGTCACTTTGTGTACAATGTACAATGTACATTGCTAGCACTTGTGCCTGGCTGACCAGGGGTGGGGGTGGGGGAAGGTCTTCTCTTTGGCAGAGAGTCTACATTGTAGTGGTTTGCAAGAAGATCTACAAATTCTATGGTACATGTAGAAGCAGCTGCACATCAGCGCGGGTAACAATCATGCCAATTCAGAACACCCTACAAACTACTTGTATCAGGACGAGTATGGTAACTAGGATCAAGACATGATGATTGTATTTAGGGTGGTTGCTGCACAATATGAGTGGCGTATGTCACTGGGTATTTCACTCACAGGGCTAGAGCCAGTAACAGGACCGGAGGCTGCTCTAATTTGTCAAAACCTGGTGAACTGCGGCCCGTCCGAAAGGGAATTGAGAACAACTTGTTATTGTCGGTGTCGAGGACATGATTATTATCACCATCGTTTTCTCTGCTGCCCATGAACATGCGTTCAACGTGTGTGTGTGTGTGTGTGTGTGTGTGTATGTGCGTGTGAATGTGTGTATGTGTGTGTGTATATGTGTGTGTGTGTATGTGTGCGTGTGTGTGCACATGCACGTCTATCTCTATTCCCATCAACAATCCACAGAGAAACCAGCTCGTCGGGATCCGCAACGAAGAGTGGTACCAGCAGCCGAGGCGATCCACCAGCATATGATGAGTAAGCTATGTTCCAAACAATACCCTTCTCTCTCCCTCTAAACAAATCTTACACTCTAACATTAGGCTTCAACTATTACTTGAGGTTAGTTAGTACCCCGGTGCATGTATGTACTGCAACTAGTACTTGTGATGTCATCCATGAAAAACCTCAGATAATGACGTCATTGCACAACTAAACCCTACACAGTTTCTATCACTGCCACAATGCAATGTTGTGGCTAGATGTTTAGAGCATACATGTACATCTTTGGAATGGGCACTGCAAAGTGTGCTTGTCGCCATCGACCTATAACTCACATGCTCTTCATGTTGTTATCTTTTGCCCTGCAGTGATCACCATGCTGCGTATATAGCTCAGCAGAAAGCAGCAGTGCATCGCACCACATTCGAGCTGGACGGTCGACCGCTACCTGATCTTGAGCACCATTACTATGATGAGTTTCATGATCCAGAGCCGGAGGATGAACCATCGCATGATTTCAAGGACTTGTACGTCAGTTGGAGAATACATCATGCATGCCCACTCACACAAACACGCACAAGCATACAAACACACACACATGGACACGTGTACGCATACCCGCACACATGCACACGCACATACACATGCACAGACACACACACACACACACACAGACAGACAGACACATACACACATATACAGACAGACACACACACACACACATACACACACATACATACACACACAAACTCTCTCTCTCTCTCTCACACACACACACGCACACACACACACACACACACACACACACACACACACACACACACACACACACACACACACACACACACACACACACCACACACACACACACACACACACTTAGTCATACACTCTCATTGCATTATTCATTATCTGCATATTCATACTATTCTACTGAGTATTATAATATCCAGTCATAGTCACTTGTGTTGTACTGACGCAGTGTGATATCTCTCCATGTCCTATTTCACCACAGCTGGCGATCACATGAAAATTTCAAGGCCTACCTCACCAAGAACCATCACTTTCACGAGTTCATCGCCTTCCTGATTGTTCTCGACATCCTGATCGTTCTGGGAGAGCTTATCCTAGACTTGGAAATCCTTCGTAAGTACATGTCCATCATGTACATTGCTGCTTTGCTCTTTTGTATTGTTATGGACAGCCTACCGCCATTATTTAATAATTTATAATGCAATGCTACAAAAGATCCCATCCCTTAGTCAGCAAGGAGATAGTTCATGATATAAGCTGTGTTAGGAGGAGGTAAGGTTGCATATGCCAGGACAGTAAGGTGATCACTCCCATGGCCCAGCTCTCAACGACTCAACTTACATTGTACTTCCGAGTCATAATTCATGTGCCGTACATGTAGATCTACACTGCCATCCGCTCGCCTGGCCTTGGCGGATGATGCTCGAAACTGATTGGCAGATGCTGCTCGAAAAGCAGTCACTCGGAAATTGGCGGAACCACACAAACCAGTTACCAAAGTTCTTTATTATTTTACTGTCCTTATGGCACGCACTTCCTTGTGCTCCATTTCTTTATTCACATACCAAACATGCATGGAACAGTCATACCAGAAAAAGTACCACATTTTTCCAGTTTTTCTGCCGGCATTATCCGCCATCTGCCCACAGTAGAATACTGTGTGCGGTTTGCGTTAGAATCAAGTTAGTTGTCACCACGAAGCAATCGCCCAATCTGACAAAAGACTCCAGATCCGCCTTTGCCTGTGCATATGGTAGGTTGAGCTGCCAGTACTGCAGTAGACTAGCACTGGTACTAGCAGTATGCTAGCAGTAGATCTACTGTACATCAGGACGTCCGGGGAGGTCGCCTACCCTCAAAATGCAGGGTCGCATACCAACACTCCGACTGTACATGTAACAGTGCCAGTGCCAGTGGGCACCAGGGAGTCATACCCAAACCTGGTTTGAGTAGATCTACGACTCCCGGATCCCTGGTAGACGTACTAAGTACTAGTGCCAGGGCATGCTATGCAGAGCTAGGCTGGCTTCCTGTGCATAATGATCAGATGATAGTGATAGCCTTTATAGGGACAAGTGCCAATGAAAATAATCCAGTCGAAACACTCAGGTACACGCCAGGCGTTGTGCTGCCCTAGACCTGCGAACACTGGGCTGCGGAATGATCCAAGGCGCAAACTAACTACTTACTTGAGTGACCAAAGTGACTCGACTGGATTTCATTGAGCAGCAAGTTTTTACTGCAAGCGCGCTACTTGACGGACCTGAAGATGGCAACAAAGAATTATTACTTGTGTGTTTTCCGTACACAGACTAGTAGTGGCCGGTTTTTGGTTTGGTGCGGAGATTTGAGTCTTCGAATTGTTGTCTTTTCTTTTGAGTTTAGTTCCTGTCTTCGCTCGAGTTTTGTTTCGGTTCGCCCCTAGGCGCTGTATCTGCCACCGTGGTATCTCAGTCATGGGGGTCCTGGCACAAGCGAAACTTCCTAAGCTGGTTGTGTTTCTCAACACAACCTTTGCCAGTGCTAATGTGCACACTTTGCTGTTTATTCCCGAGAGATTTAGGAAAGAGCTAGCAGCTCGTAGCAGCGAGATACGAGTGGCTGCTATGTCTCAAGACCAGGGTTGTATGAGTAACGTTAGTGGCAGCATAACTAATACTATGCTTTTGTCGTCAGTGACACGTCCCATCAGCCTGCTAGCGTTTCCGGAACACATACTTATTTGATAAAAAGAAACAAGTTTGGAAAACGAAACATTTCCGCCAATGTTCCTTCAAAAACACTGGGCCAAATTGGCCATGTTTATTGGGACCAGAAACCATGGAAACGACCCGTGAGAAAATGCTCTGCTTCTTGCAGGTGCGGATGAGTGCGCTCACGATCATGACTGCCCGCTGGTTGAAGCCACCGTGAATGGATCGATGTGGGACTGCTCCTTCAACTCGAACTACACCACATGCCTGTACAAGGGTGGCCGACACACCTGCGTAGACGGTAAGTTTAATACTGGTTATTCACCAAAACTATGTATCTACTTCCGACATGTAATGCTCTTTCTCAAAATGCGAAGACTCCACTGTAGCCATCCACTATACCCATACATCTTCACGACACTCTCCAAACGGTCTCTGGGATACACCAATCACTGAAAGAAAAAAAGAAAATCATCTGAATTTCCGGGCAAGGCCCATCTTCCCAGACACCGTTTCGAGAGTGTAGCGAAGATGTATGGGAGCGCCAATGTTGTTGAAAGCGTCCAGTTTCGTGTGGATGAAGCCAGCCAGCTATTTTCTTGGATAAAATAGTGAAAATACAGGACCGGCGGAAGACATTTTGGATTGGTCCGGCCATACTCTAGTCTTTCATACAGTTTGTGTATGATTATAGTGATACAGTAAAACCTGTGACTAACAACCACCCCTTGGGGCCAGAGAAAGCGGTCTTTAGTGGCAGGTGGTCCTTAGTTAGAGGTTTGCACCGCACAACTATCATTATGAATGTGAGACCGTCCGTGCCTGGCGAAGTGGTCTGTAGTACCACGCTGGTCTGTAGTACCAGGCTGGTCTGTAGTACCAGGCTGGTCTGTAGTACCATGCTGGTCTGTAGTACCAGGCTGGTCTGTAGTACCAGGCTGGTCTGTAGTACCAGGCTGGTCTCTAGTTACAGGTTTTACTGTGCACATGACCTCCTCAGCAGTAAGCATTGGTAGCCAAAAGGTTGGTGCGGCCATGATGGTCTCACCAATCGGACTGGTTCTACCTGGGCCTGAAGTATCTACAGCTGCAAGCTGAACTAACTTAGTTCATATTCCCCTTTGCTATGTGCTCCCATAGAATACACCAAAGCGGACAAGGACCCGTCAGAGATTCTACACAAGCTCAGCATCGCCGTCCTGTCCTGTTTTGTGCTGGAGGTGAGCCGCAACGGAATGCACTAACACCAGGGCGTGGAGTGCATTATGCATGTCATGGCTGGTCATTAACTTAATGAAGTACGATTGCGTGAGTCAAATTTGCACGCTGCACCAGTCCAACAGCCCCGTGTTGACAGGTCTGGAGCTGCCCTGGTCACTGCTACTGCCACATATCCCTTGGTGGTCAGTGTCAGCATTAAAACCAGTAGAATTTAGTGACTTTTCTGGTATGTTTGCGGCAGAGCAGTACGTGGCAGGTGGCCTCTAATTTCCTAAGATTCCATGCATGTTTGGTATACACGTAGATACAGAGGAGAGAGAGGAGCAGAATCTGAGGAATTGCCTGGCATAGGCTTTGTATGATTCTGCCGATTTCACAGCCTCTTGAGCAGATTCTGCCAGTATTTCGAGCATGATCCCGGCCATGGTCTACTGCCACGCGAAGAACATGAGTCGCAGGCAGTGGTAGCAAGACTTGTTGATGTTTTTGACTCAGTAATGCTTTCTGGTGTCAAGTCGTTACTATGTTTCCACCTTTCAAATTCTGTATGTTGGTGTATTGTTTTGTTCCCCTACAGTCCATTGTTCGCCTGGTTGTGCTGCAAAGAGAATTCTTCAAGAGAAAGTTGGAGGTAAGCAAACTTCAATTGTTGATGAATAGACAATCTGATGGACTAGCCTCGCTCACATGGTGCACAAAGACACTATTTACTCTGCTCACATGGTGCACAAAGACACTATTTGCTCTGCTGCCAGGGTTTACTTTTATATGCTGTTTAGCATAAGAGCCTATGCAGACAGTGTGTGTGTGTGGGGGGGGGGGGGGGGTATGGGTGTGGTGGAGTGTGAGTGGGAGGGGTGTCACCCAGTACCTTTGTGTACCAGCCCATCCATCTCGGAAGGCACGCCTTGTAGTTGCCCTCAGCAGTACTTGTTATCAGCTGCAAGTGTGTAGCCTGGGGGCTTTTCGCAGTGGTTGCAGCCTATCTAGATTCTGTGTGCTGGGTATCAGCTCTGTGCAGTAGTAGTACACTGTGATTGTTTTGTGGAAGCATTTGTGGAATTACCTGACTCAAGGGTATTCAATACACCAGTCGGCCTATGTGCCCAGAATTTCAACCTAACCCCTGCAACACCATCCTGCTGTTCTGCTATGCTAATAGCTCTAAGAGTGCAACATACGACTTTCCACTCACGTTGTTTTCTGTATTTGTCCTGAATACTGGTCTGCAGGTGTTTGACAGCATTGTAGTGACGACAGCTCTCTTCCTGGACATCTTTGTGCAGTGAGTACACGTAGTACAGTGTATGTCGGTGTGTCTTCCGCTCACACAACACACTGCTTAGTATCCTGAAGGGCAGAGCTTCCTTACGAAGCTGCCACGGGACCGCTCTGGGCAGCACTAGACAGCGCAGTCAAACTGGCTGAGGGACTCTAGTCAGGCCTCGATGGTAGCCGGGAGATCTAATAATCTCTCTTTGCGACGATCAGTGCACACTAGAAAGTGTCTGCCCAGCAAGTAGCGCAGGAGCTTTCTGAAAGCCAAAATGCTGGGCAGGGGCCCCTCCTTGCCTCTTCCGCTTGGCTACCCGCTAGCATTGAGATGTCAGGTCGTGCGGTTTGAGCAGATCCTGCTCACTGTGCCGGATGTGGTACTCACGTGTCCAGCGTGAGATAACCTGTGTGCACACTAGAAATGTCTGCCCATCAAGTGGTACAGGAAAGCACAAGCAATGCCAGGCAACTTGCTCTTCTGTGGTAGCATATTGCTTCTCTGTTTCTGAGGGTGGTTAGAGGTTGAGCATGAGTGCCAGGATGGTTAGAGGTTGAGCATGAGTGCCAGGATGGTTAGAGGTTGAGCATGAGTGCCAGGATGGTTAGAGGTTGAGCATGAGTGCCAGGATGGTTAGAGGTTGAGCGTGAGTGCCAGGGTGGGTGCTACATGGAGGTGAGAAACGTGGTGCATGCGAGAGAAAGGGGAATGGGCATTAAAAACTTGGATGACGGACAGACTTTTGCAAAAGGCTGTCACCTTGTGTATAACATTTTATGCATGCATTTTAGTCCAATTAGGGACTGTCCCGCTCAAAATAGGTGGGACCGAATGGAGGTTGGCATGTGTGGAAAGAATGGTTTTCAAATGCCGGTCTTTCTACTTGAAGTAAATGCCATAATGTCTTGCCTATTGTTGTGTGTGTGTATGTGTGTGTGTATGTGTGTGTGTGTGTGTGTGTGTGTGTGTGTGTGTGTGTGTGTGTGTGTGTGTGTGTGCATGCGTGTGTATGTGTGTGTGTGTGTGTGTGTGTGTGTGTGTGTGTGTGTATGTACATGTATGTGTGTTACATGTACCCTCTAGTCACGGTGCTGCTGTGGCTCTGCTGCTATTTGTGAGACTGTGGAGAGTCACTCGCATCATCAACGGTGAGAACAGCCACTAGTACTGGATCCCCAGTGAATCTATGCATGACTAAGCCACATTGATGTTGACAGGGGCTGAAATCGGATGAGTAATGTGAAGTGGCAGGCTGTGCTGAGCAGTTTAGAGAATTTAACTGAAAGGGAGTGAAGAGAATGTGTATATGAATTCCGGATGCATGTGGTCGGCATGGTGATGACATTATGCGTCGTATTTTGGGGAGAATGTAGGCCGCATATGCATGCATGGGAGTGGAATTCCAGCATTGCATGCACTATTGTGCGCATACAGCGATGTGCAGTACAGTGTGCTATACTGGGCTCTACCTTGTGTATTCACTATTCCCATGATGGTGGAGTTCTAGCAGTGCATGCTCCTACATGCTGTACTCTCGTCTGTAAAGCACTTGACAGTCAGTGCCGCAGTGGCTACAACAGTGTACTGTGCTATGCTGGGCTTTACCTCGTGTATTCACTATTCCCGTGGTGGTGGAATCAGTCCACGGAACAGGGCATACTGATGTGCTCTTGGCTGTATGCGGTGCAGGCGCCGTGTACAGCGGTGACTAGAACAGTGTACTGTGCTATACCGGTGGGTTCCACCTACTGCAGTGCCAGTCACTACATGTATTCCTGTGAGCTGCTCCCTGAACATTGTGTAGAAACGGCACCTGTAATCCAGCCATGTTCGCTCAGTTCGAATGAACAAGTGGAGATACTGTATTTTCTGGAGTATAAGCCGCACTGGATTTTTTTGTCGCGAAATACAGACATCTACCCTGTTTATCACCGTGAATGTAACCATTGTACTTCACGTAATTTAAGCTGAGTCGAGTTTTTTTTTGGGTGAACTACTGGTGTTTTTAAGTGCGGCTTATACTCTGGAGAATGCGGTGCCTTTATGGCGTAGAAGAATCCCGTGAATACACCTTTGGGCATGTACACGCTCATGTGTATGCACGAACATGTACGTGATACTAAGGTATGGACGAAAAAACATGTTTGATTGTTGTTTGCGCTTCTCTGTAGGAATTGCGATTGCAATGGAGTCGAGGGAAGAGGCAAAACGTCACGAGCTGCGCAAGCAGAACCGCTGTGCCCGACACGAGCTGGTGCGGAAGAGAGAAACTGTGCACTTACTGCGGGTAAGTGTGGACTGGGTTCTCCTTCATGCATGCCAGTACTGCTTGTGCATTCATGTCTGCCATGTCCTGAGTTTGTGAATACTCACTTGATGATTCAGCTGCAGGGGCGTCGGAAGGTATTTCAGGTTGGTACGGTCAGCCACCTGAAGCACAATTTACTCGTGGAGTTAGGATGGCTCCTCTGGAAATTTTCGAAATTTGGAGCCCAGATCAGTGCTTTTCACAGGGTATCCGCATATTATCTGGGACAAAGAGTGGTACGGTCAATACCGTAATGACCCGGCGTAGCGTGTCCGACGCCCCTGAGTGCTGCCTACTGGTCTGAAGAAGACCGGAGCTCCATTTCCCCTTACTTATCTCGTGCCTATCTGACCATAGCCCTAATCTGGTGTCGTTCTTTCTCTGCTCTAACATTTCTCAGATTGAGTTGATGGAGTGGAAGAAAGCGGCGGCCGTGTTTCACGAAGCTGAGCATTTCACTGTGGCAGCGCCAATGCCGACGGGATAACCACTGCTTGCTAGCTGTACCAGGGCCATTGGTCTTGTCCGCACGCGATGACAGTTTGCTGTAGGCGCTTGTTCCGTGCTCGCATGAGGCCTCGCACTGCATAGGTCTCTGCATAGCTCTGTGCTATATGCTGCTGCTGCACTTGTAGAAAGCACTAGCGTTGTGACGTAACTGTTGCTTAGGCTGTCTGCTACGTATGAATCTAACCGCTGTATTGCAATTGTGACGCATGCCATACACACGTTTGTTCCGCCGTGTCGAGGAGCAGAAAAACACTGTGCGAGTACATGCATAGGCTGTTTCTGAAAGGTCAGGCTTGTGATGATGCCAGGCCGGCAATGCATGGTACAGTCTCTCTCCTTCACCCACTTAGGCTCTTCACTCTCCGCAATCTGGTACACCATTGCACTAGCGTAGTCACAGCTGGATCGGCCTATATTTTAAAATCGTTTAGTTGAGTTTAGGCAGGCCGTTACTGCAGAGATGCCCGTAGATTCAAGTCCACGGAGATATTTACTGGTTCATTCCAGTTAGGTCCACTGTTCGTTGTTCAGACCCGGAGCAGCTACACTTTTACTAGTACTTGGCAGTTTTCCCAGCAATCACATTCTGTGGTAACTATCTTGTTAGATTTTATTGATGATGTCATCTCTAGCCTACACTAATATAAAGATAAAGTATTTTACTTTTTGACCCTCCGCTTTTATCCAGGATCCCAGTACTGCAGTAGTGTGTGGTGAGTTTTCGCTCTATACAAGTTTCAGCTTTTATTTGACTCGTATCCTTTCACTGCAAGCTATGTCATTTGGCTGTTCGCGGCTAATTCCTTTCTGTTCTTGGACATTTGCTTTTGTGATGTTGTGACCTGTTCGGCTGGGTTTGAGTGCGTTTTTATCTACCAGTGCATGTGTAGCGAATCTGTGACACGGAGTTTGTGTGTGCGCGCCCGTGTGTGTGTGTGTGTGTGTATGCGCTGCGTGTGCCGTATTGCCATGGTTACCACAAGTTCTCATTTTTCCTAGAAAAAAACCCATGATCTTGAGATTCAAACATTGAATTGCCGGACAAATACTGCAAGCCACTTTTGCGACTTTGGACCACTGGAACAGTAGAGAAAACCCTACGACTCTCTTTTTTTTTGTGGCAAAGCTGAGACTCGTGTGTGTTACACCTTCAATGATTGTAACACACACGAGTCTCAGCTTCACCATGGTTTTGGTCGCGGTCGAGTATCTACAATGGAGGCTACTAGTTAGCTACCGTGATCATGTATCAGGCGCTTAGCACCGCCGTTGGCGGTCGTCCGGCCGGAGGAGAGCCCGGGGTCTCCCCTTGAACATTTTGAAATTAGGGTGCAAAATCCTGCATTCTGGGTTTTTTGGCATTGTGTTAAAAAAAAGTGGTTCGGCCAATGCCGGACCGACTGCATGCTACGCCCCTGATGTACAATGTGCACGCGGAAGTATAATAATATGAACAGGTCGCATATTGCCCGCATAAACAAATCATACGGGCCCGGGGTCATACATCTCAGTCAATGATCGTTAACCAGAGTTGCTTGTCAGTGATGGCGAGATTGAGGCATTCCTGAATAGGCACATTCTGTAGTAGCCGAAGGCTTCCATACTATCTTCTACTATGAATAACCTCCCTGGCCTGGGGGCTTATTCTCTTGTCGTCTTGATATTAGAGAGGTTTTGCATTCCGAATTTCGGAATTATTTTCGGAATGTGGCGGCTGCAGTCGAAAAAGTAGTCGAACTTTCGGAAGTGTGGTGGCGAAAGTGCATGGTTTTCCGAAAATGGATTTTCGGCTCTTTCATGTTTGGGAGTGCATATTTGAATACAAAAAAGTGTATTTTTCATGTTTGTATTTTTGCTTTCTGCTGCTCTCGATTATTTGAAATTTTTCCACGTATGTAGTTTTGATTTTTGCTGGTTTTGCTGCTCTCGCTGATCTCGCCATGTTGACTAATCTTCTCACACTCCATCACATTCTATCTTCCTTTGCCATGGAGCCTACTGACAGTACAAGACAGTAGTTCGCCAACCTCGTCTTCAGCTGTTGGATCACTTGGTCCACCATCAGTCCGTCCTCGTCTTCGAACCGCACCCAAATTCAGTTTGACCTGCGCACATGCATGGATTTGATCCAGGGAGTCGTAAAATACGTATTTTACGACTCCCTGATTTGATCCTGCTCAACCCCTTCGACGCTCTCCATTTTGTTTTGCATGGCAACCCTTCGAAACGAAGTCGAATCAGATTTTCGGAATGCGAAGGACTAAAGGGACCCTCACTTAATTTTTACCGACTTTCCCGGCAAAAAAACACATTTCGACACGCGTATGTGCTGGACGTCTGCGCGTGCACGACACGACGTGTGAGATAGCTGACAAGTGAGAGCCAGGGAGTCGTCGAGTACCGGCGTTTGACGACTCCCGGCCTGGTGAGAGCATGCATGTCCAGCTGGCGCGAAAGGGAACCTGTAATTATTTTGTAGATCGATGGCGGAATCACGATGTTTGTTTTGGATGTTTTGATACTTGTTGTAATGGCTAGTGATCGAAATGTTACTGTGACTTTTCCAAGTCCTACTGATATACCTTGTCAAATCAGTTGCCCTGCGGTAGTCTTGGTGGAGGCAGACTGGAATGCGTTGAATTCGTAGCTTCTGAAATTGAAAAAAAATTTCTGGAGTGACACTGACAAGCGATGGCATTGGCGACAGAAGAACTTTGCTTCCTTCCAGGAGAGCTGCATCACAGTCGGATCCTGTCCATGCACATGCGATCATGCTGTGTTGTAGACAGTGGAGAGCTGATTTTGACCAGAGAAAATATTTTTGACCATTCATGAAGAGGGTATTGTTGCTGTAGCTAGCTGACAGACATAACCTGTGGCAGTGGTGTATGGAATCAGCTTGCAAGGTCTGTAGCAACTTGATCATGCAGAGAAGGAGCTGAACTGCACACGCACTCGCTACTGTTCTCGCAAGATTATAGGCTTCTCTCCAGTGATCCAGCCTCCCTTAAAGCATGGATCCACTGCACTTTGTCGTCGAACACATCAACACGCCTGTTGACGTACACTGGTAAAGGTATCACTTCACGATGAGGAGCACACAGCACGCGTGGAGGCTTGTGCCGTTGAGTGGCTTCTCTCCAGTGATGCAGGCCACCTGGAGGCATCGGGCCAAGTGCGTTCTTTGCCGCAAGGGCCATATCTAAACAGCAACACCAGCAATGCCACCACTTCCCGACTTCAAGACAACTGGACCACATCAGTCATCTGCCATAGTTGGTGTCGGCTATGTCGTCCCCTTCTATGCACGCCAGGGTCGAGATCGGTCACTACTCAAAGAGATATGTATGTGTGTTTACATGCCTGCTGACTAGGGCTTGTTATTTCGAGGTTATCTCTGGACAACGACGGTTTTCTCCTGGCTCTTAGACCCCGATTCACCATGCGACGTGGTGTGCCACAAGAGATATAATCGGACAACGGTACCAATTTGAAGAAGACCTTCAGCTGCTATTGCCACAGCACTTTCTCATTGGCCATGCTAGGGCAACTATTGCTGCTGAAGCCAACACATCTACAGTGACTCAAGTTCACCCAAGGAAGCGCTGGGAGTTTGTGCAACGTATTGTAGATCAGGTATGGAAACGTTAGCTGAAAGAGATTGTTCCGAAGCTGAGCATCCAGGTGATGTGGTTGCTACAACAGCGTAACGCTAAAGGAGATATCGTGCGTGTGATGGATCGGCACACAGCAATTGCACACTGGCCACTTGGACGTGTACTTATGACCTATCCAGGTAAGGATGATGCTGTTCGGATAGTAGAAGTTTAAGTAGCTGGGAAGGTATACAAGCATGCAGTTCATCATCTTGAGCCGCTAGAAGTCAAAGGTGCAAGTACTGAGCAAGCTGTGATTGTTTTCATATTCATAGTAAAGAAAAGACCAAGGAACTACAAGCTACGCTATAATGTCCACTAACACCACCAGTTACTTGACAATCAGCTCATGCGATAACATTGCACAAAACTGACTGACGGTACTGACGTTCTACAACTAACTGGCTATCAGCTCTAGCACGTCTTGTAGGTCCTTGGTCCTTTTCCTTCCATCCGAGTTTTCGTATTCAATTGCCATTGTTTTTGTCATGTTTTTTCTTCTCGTTGTCTTCGTCTTTTACTCGCTCATGTGTTATTTATCACTTTTCTTTCACGAGGGAGGTATGTTAGATTTATTCTCCTATTTCTGTGTAATTTACATGTACTACTGAGTACTGTGTTTGATGGTGGTGAACTACGATGCATTGATTATCATGAATGCATGTGACATGCGTCACAGATCTGGTTCTATCGCTGGCGTCTATTATGCCTGACTGCTCTCCGCCTTGGGTTTGCATTCACAACTAAATGTACTATAATTTCTGCACGGCTACATGCATGTACGATGCAATGCTGTTATGTCGTTGCCTGTTCCTACTGTCCTGGAGCTGGAAGAACCCGCTAGTCTTACTTACTACTTCTACTTTTAGTTCAACTGTTGTTACTATCTATAATCTTGCCTAAGTGGGCAGTTAATGTTTGCAACAGTTGTGCTTCGGTGTATAGTATATGAAGGAAAGTTAGAACATACGGTTCTCTGTGATTGTACTTCGAAATAGTGTAGATGAGTGCTTGTAAGACCACAGTGTAGCGAATATAACACACTGCATGCTGGAACTAGTTGGCCGCATGCATGCACTCTTAGCCACAACAACAAATAGCACCCGAACACATACCCTCCAGTTGCATGAGAATAGAGTTGTACATCAGTAGTACTAGTAGTACAATATTCTATAACAACGAAACACAAAAAAAGCATGATGGGAAGAAGTGATCAATGTTGAGAGAGTGTGTGTGTGCTAGTGTTCATGAGCAACAAAAGAAGAGAAACTGAAAGAGAGAAAGAACTTGTGCCTGTGTGTTCGAGAGAGAGATACAGTGCACGTCAACAGAGAGTGAGAGAGCGACACACACACACACACACACAGAAAGAGAGATGGAGAGACGGACAGAAAAAGAGAGTAAGTATGTGAGAAAGCGAGCCAATACTTCGTGCCGAGCTTGATCAATACTCCAGTCAGATAAGGACAGAACTTCCAAAAGAAATTATCACAGCAATTTACATTGTAGATACACAGGTTGAGAGAAAAAGAGAAAGAGCGACACAGAGATCAAAAGACGCAGAGAGATACAGTGTATGTCAACATGCGTGTGGAGATGTTCAACGACAAAGTGCAGTGGATCCATGCTTTGTGAGTGCGAGAGAGAGAGAGAGAAAGCGAGAGAGAGAGATACAGTGTACGTCAACATGCGTGTTGAGATGTTCAACGACAAAGTGCAGTGGATCAATGCTTTGTGGGGAAAGACAAAGCGAAGCGAGGCTCAACCGATGACAGGAGCTCGAGACGCAGCACTACTGAAGAGTGAAGTAGAAAAACCACACACTGTATGCAGACCAACCGCACAAATCAAGCAGGGTGCAAAGTATGCAAACGCACACAGCTAAATCGAAGTGAATCTCACACGGCTTGTGAGTGAGTGAGAGAGAGAGAGACACACACACACACACATACAGAAGGAGAGATAGAGAGACAGACAGAAAAAGAGAGGGGGTAGCTTAATCAATGTGCGAATGTGGATTCGTGTGAGAGAATGATGATAAAGAGAAGCTATCAAAGTCGACAAGATAGATCTGATATCGTTGGTATAAGAGAAAATCAGTGGGTGTACATCCACCGCACTTGCAGACTTGAGTGTTTCTCTTGAGACAGATGCATATGGCG